GGAGGTGGCAGCCATCCACTGCAAGGGACACCAAGGAGGAAAGGACTCAGTGTCAGAAGGTAACCGATGAGCCGACACCACAGCTAAACAAGCAGTGGGAAAAGAAACAACAACCTCAACAATCATGCTGGCCTCAGAACTGCCAACTTCCCCAAGGTACACAATCCACGAAACAAAATGGGCACAATAGGAAAAAGGAGGCCAGACAAAAGACAGATGGTGAGTACTTCCAGACCAGAGAGTCTATACATACCGGAGCAGCTAGCCCATCAGGTGGTTCTCCAACAGCAGGAGCTCACCCACTTAGGAAAAACTGCCCTTGAAACCTTATTGAGTTGTTACTATGTAATTGCTCAACTCCTGTCCCTCTGTGCCTCAGTCTTTCAATGCTGCCTCCTCTGTGCTCAAAATAATGCCAAACAAGTCCCCACTGGGCCCATGGAAATCCAATGCTGTGGTCAGGCTGTGGACACTGCGAAGATTTAGAGGTAGGCTTTACCAAAATAAGACCCAGTAAAGGATACAAATATCTTTTGGTATTCATCTGCATGTTTTGGGGCTGGGTTGAAGCCTATCCCACATACACAGAAAAGGCAAGAGAAATAACCAAGGCCCTGCCAAGGGATATCATTCCCAGACATGGTATGCCATTAACCATAGGCTCAGACAACGGCCCAGATTTCGTGGCCGAGGTGGTGCAGCAAGTAGCCAAGCCCTAGGTATCCAATGGAACTTACATGCAGCTACCAGCCCCAGAGTTCAGGGAAAGTGGAATGTATGAACCGGACCCTTAAATCAGCCATGGCAAAACTATGTCAGGAAACTAACTTGCCCTGGCCAGATATACTAACTCTTCTCTGAATATGCTCTACACGCTGGGCAAAAATGGGATTCTCCCCATTTGAGATCCTATATGGAAGACCCTTCCACTAGCCAAATTCAAGGGGGACCTGACAGAGCTATGGAATTTAGAAATACAAAAACAACTACAAGGACTAGAGAAAACTGTATTTGAGACACATAGATGAGTGACAGAATACCTATTTCCCTAGGAATAACTGTACACCTCCACAAACCTGGGGATCAGGTTTGGATAAAAGATTGGAAGAAGGAACCCACTTACACCTACCTTGAAGGGTCCTTATTTAATTGTGCTAACCACGCCCACAGTTCTCAAGGTTGCAGGACTAACCACCTGGATCCACCATTCCCGAGTAAAGACAGACCACCTGTCACCTGACAACCACTCGAAATGGAAAGTAACTGGTAACCAGGATAATCCTCTCCAGACCCCCCTTAAGAAGATAGCAGACGATAAGTGGCCTGCAGCCAACACCTGAGAACTCTCTGTAACCAGAAGCTTGAGGAAAATCAAGCAACTTAAATGAACTACAACAAATCGTTCTTTCTCAGATTTCCTTGTCATCCCCTACCTACTTCTCTTTCCATACTTGTTGCTATACTCTTTGCTGTAGGGCTGGACCTGCTAACTGCCGAAAGGGGAGGACTATGTCTTTTCCTACATGAAGAATGTTGCTTCTATGTCAACCAATTGGGATAGTCCGAAAATGGTCCAGCAGTTAAGGGAGTGAATCAACAAAGACAGGAATTAGCAGAGTCATGGAACTCTTGGAGCAACTTATGGAATTGGGCATCTTGGCTCCTCCCTTTAGCTGTCCTCCCCTAATGCTTTTCAGAGCCCTCCTGTGTGGTCCTTATATTCTTAATATGCTAACCAGGCTTGTTTCCTCTCATCTAGAAGTTATAAAACTCCAGATGATGCTCCAGTTGGACCATCCTAGCTGTTGCTACTCTCCTTTGGATGATGAAGAACCTTCGCTGCCTCACCCCTCCCTTCAGCGTCCCTGTCCAGCAGGAAGAATCCAGAATGGTCTTTGCCCCTCCTCCCATGGCAGCAAAGGGTTCCCTGGCCCCCACAAACTGATTTTCTGTAAGTCTGCCACAGCAGCTTGAGAATTAAGAGGGAGAAATGAGAAGAAAATCTAGTAAAAACAAGATAAAAGGGGCCAGCCAGATGTCCAAGGCTGGATACTCCCCCTGCATACTTTTGGCTTCTGTAATCTTGTTTGCCTCCTATGTCCACCAACTGCCCAAGTACCATTGATAAGTGTCCCCTCCCCCCTTTCTTTTGTCTCTCAACCCCCTACCATCCCAGCCATAAAAGGAGGCCGATGTCAAGTTTCAGGGCTCAGACTTTGGAGGTGACTCTGCTGGGCCGGCACAAGTGCACAATAAACAGTCTTCTCTGATTCCCTGAGTGCACGTCGCTTGTCTTTTCCTGGGTGCCGAGTATTTGCTGTAACACAGGGTGGGCTCAGAGAAAGAAAGTGTGGGGCAGGCAGTACCCTCTGGCCTCTTTAGGTCTTAAGCTTATAGTATTGGGGCTCTGCTGAGGCTGTTTAAAATGGTAGGCTAGACAAAGGGGTTCCAGGTGGAAAGACAGACATCCAGTATGGATTTGACAAATTTCTTTTTTTTTTTAGTAGTATTTTTTAAGTTCGGCAGCGGGGGGTGGGGGGTGGGGTGGGCAGAGAGAGAGAAGGAGAGAATCCCAGCCAGGCTCTGCACTGTTATCACAGAGCTGGACGTGGGACTTGAACTCACAAAACATGAGATCATGACCTGAGATGAAATCAAGAGTCAAACCCTTAACAGACTGAGCCACCCAGGTACCCCTTGACAAACTTCTTAAGAACTAAACCTGGCAGACAGAGTAGTAGAAACCAACTTGGGATCTTTATTTCAAACATTACTCACAGTATGCCCTCAACAAAAGTTAGTTCAAGAATTTAGAGGCACCTGGGTGGCTCAGTCAGTTAAGCGACCAACTATGGCTCAGGTCATGACCTCACAGTTCATGGGTTTAAGCCCTGCATCAGACTCTGTACTGACAGCTTGGAGCCTGGAACCTACTTCAGATCCTGTATCTCTCTTGCTCCCTGCCCCTCCTCCACACATGCTCTGTCTCTCAAAAATAAATAAACATTAAATAAAAAAAATTTTTTTAAATGAACATGATAGAAATGTGGTAAAAAAAAAGAAAAAAAATAGGACATAAAAACTCAAGTTTACAAAATTTATTTCTTTTTTTTTTAATGTTTATATATTTTTGAGAGAGAGAGACAGAGAGACAGTGCAAGTAGGGAAGGGGCAGAGAGAGAGTGAGACACAGATCCAGAAACAGTCTTCAAGCTCTGAGCTGTTCAGCAGAGAACCAAATGTGGGGCTCAAACTCATAAATCAGGAGATCATGACCTGAGCTGAAGTTGGACACTTAACCAACTAAGCCACCCAGGCGTCCCATACAAAATTTCTTTCTTTTTTTTTTTTTTAAGTTTGTTTATTTTGAGAGAGACAGAGACAGTGTGAGTGGAGGATAGAGAGCGAGAATCCCAAGCAGGTTCCAATCTGCCAGTGTAGAGCCTGCTGCAGGACTCCAACTCATGGAACCGTGAGATCGTGACCTGAGCCAAAACCAAAAGTCGGATGCTTAACTGACTGAGTCACCTGGGTGTCCCTCAAATTTACAGAATTTAAAAGCAGATAGTATGGGGACTGAGTAGGTCCTAGGGGAATTACTATGTGGACCCACAACAAACATTTAGTGAGCACTTACTGGGTGTCAAACATGCTAGGAACTGGAAATGAACGGTGGAATAAGACATCCTTGGCCTCCTGGAGGTGCTGTTATAGAGCATTCCTTTCTCATAGGGCATGAATCCTCCCTTTCTCTTTCTTCTCTACTAGGGATTTTCTGACCATCCTTCCAGACTAAATTCAAATCTTACTTGCTCTATGAAACCCTGTCCAACAGCTCTACGAAAAAAGAAAATTATCTCTTTCTTCTCTTTGCTTCTAGAGCATTCTTTTAAACTTGTTTTATGTTTTTTGTGCTTTATTGCTATTATTTGTTTCTATTTTTGTCTCCTCCACAGAGTGTGTATAAGAGAAACACTTTGTGCTATTTGGATTTGACTCTGTTAGATTCATGATGTTAATTAAAATTTGACTCACGAGTGGGTTTTGAAAGCAGTAGATTGTGAGCAGTATATTTTAAAAATGGAGAAGAGAACAGAAACCATCAAAGTGATCCAGACATTATGAGGATGAATAACATCTCATGAAATTTGTTTCTGTTACCTATTTGGTTGTCCTGAGTCACAATAAAATGTTCTTATTGAGGATAAGTAAAATACCAAACAAACAAACAAACAAACAAACAAATAAATGGAGGCTCAGAGAGTTGGCGTAGACCCTAGGAAGAAAACTATATCCGGAGATTCTGAATCTTTCAAACTATGACGGGATCTGCACCATACAGAGAGCAATGGGCCAACTGATACAAGTTCATAGCTTAAATGAGCAAATAAAAGAACCAAGGGTTTTGATGGAGGCAACAAACTATGTCTGTGAAGATGGTAAATATTTTAGATTTTGTGGGCTATAAGGTGTCTGTCATAACTACTCAACTCTGCCATGGTAAGGCCAAAGGAGTCACAGACAATATGTAAATGAACGAATGTAACTGGATTCCAATAAAATTTGAATTTCGTATATATTCAGGTGTCATGAAATATTATTCTTCTTTTGATTTTTTCAATTATTTAAGAATGTGAAAGCCATTCTTAGCTAATCATGTTTTAAAATATACCATTTCTTTTTTTTTTATACCATTTCTTTTAAGTAAAGTGTTTATTTATTTATTTTTGAGTGAGAGAGAGTGTGAGTGGGGAAGGGGAAGAGAGAGAGGGAGACAGAGAATCCTGACCAGGCTCCTCACTGTCAGCACAGAGCCCAATGCGGGGCTCGAACTCATGAACCATGAGATCATGACCTGAACCGAAACTAACAGTCAGATGATTTACCCACTAAGTCACCCAGGCGCTCCTAAAATATACCAGTTAATAGAAAATATGAGGTCTAGTAAGGTCTACACATCAGATGACTGCCACTAAAAAGTTCCCAAGAGAACTTGTTACAGTTCCCAAGAGAAAAGGGTCCATCATGTCAAGGGATGGGGGGGAGGGGAGAGCACACAGGAAACACTAGGGTCACTCCAGAGAACAGGGAGAAATTGCAGGCAAAATCCCTTTTTTCTGGTTTCTGTGGGAAGGAATGAGGGAGTCAGGGTAAGCATGCTTAGGATTGGCTAGTTTGAATAATTTCAGCAGGCTCTGGGGCATAGGGTCTGTCCCTGGTTATCTAGTACCTGGCCCTGGGGGGATTAGGGCAGGTGGATAGTGGCCTGGAGTGTGAGAGCCCAATAAAGGGGATGGTTGGGTGTGTGGGCTCTAGACTGGTTGGTTTGTATTTGAACAGTGTGCTCATACATCTTTAAGAATTGACTAATTCAGGGAAGGCCAGGGTCCAGGTGTCAGAGCATCAGAATACAGAAAATAAAAGACATGGTTAACACACATGGACCGTGTGAAAACAGGGGCAGGAGGGGCACATGGGGGGCTCAGTCATTTAAGTGTCTGACTCTTGATTTCAGCTCAGGTCATGATGGTTTGTGGGATCCAGTCCTGTGTGGGCTCTGACAGTGTGGAGCCTGCTTGGGATTATCTGTCTCCCTCTCTTTCTCTGCCCCTCACCTGCTCAAGCAATTGATCTCTGTCTCTCAAAATAAATAAATATACATTAAAAAAATTAAAAACAAAATAGAAGGCAGGCCAGATTTGGCCCATGGGCTATAGATTGCCATCCCATGGGTTAAGAGCCCAAAGATAACGCTGGTATTTTATAGCAAATTAATAAATGTGCCAAATCATGAAGCCTCTTGATTCTTGCACATAAACATTAAAGAGAGAAATCATAATTTAGGATAGTAAGAAACACCTGCATCCATTCAAACTTAAGGAAGACCTCATCTTATTTGGCCTATGTATTCTGTTCATTCTGCCCCTCTAGTCCTCAGAACATGATATTCCCTAACCTGCACTATCTGTCTTTACTGAGAAGGGCAATAGCTAGAACAGAACTAGGAATTCTCAAAGTAGTTGTCAACATGGTTATATCTGCGCAAGCCCTCTAGTAGAATATTAGTGAAATCTCTGTCATCTCATCATTTTACCCAAGACTAAATTAAAGTTTTTAGAGTTCATAATCTATACCATTGTGAATCCCTGAAGGCAAGGATACTGTTTTCCTTCCCATTACTTCCTCCTCCTCCTCCTCCTCCTCCTCGTCCTCCTCCTTTAGAGTAGAATTTAG